GAATGGGTAGGGAGAGCCTCAGATAAGCTTGAATGAGGAAAGACTTTGAATGTGCTAGAAGTAAATAACAGCATGTTCTGTCAATGGTATCGAAGAAAGGCAAACCTGATTTTCTTGTGTGATGCAAGGACATGGGAATATTTCATAGGCACTGAAAAGCAACCAAATGAAAGGTGGCAAAAGCTACTACTGGTTTACTCGCCGAATAACTAATCCGCATAAATCTTTGTCGCAGGATACCAGTGAGGGCAGCAGGTGTCTAACTTGGTTTGCATGGGGCTGCTGCAGTGATGAAGAAGCTCACGCTTCAAGTCCAAAGCTAACCACAGCTTGTGAAGGATTAGAAGGGACCTTCTCTATCTAGTCCTGTGTTGCTATAAATAATGTGCTTTTGAACCAAAGGCCTCTTATGTAAAGAATCCAAGTTTTAAATGATGTAATTTAATGTAAGCTGCTTCACTGCATTTCAGCTGGAATGTAGCTGCCAAGTCTTGCCATAACTGCCGTATTTAAAACGTGTGTGTATATATACTGGCTAAAATTCAGTCTTCCTTCCTGAAACGTGGAACGGATACAGAAGAATAAATGTGTCCAGTTGACCATTCTTGTCTAGAAAGAGACGGACATTTATTTCTCTCGTGTTTGGAGTGTTTTTTATCACCTGGGGGTGGGGGTTAGAAATAGCTTCAAAAATGGAGTGCAAAAATGTCTCTGGCTTCAAAAATTAACTTCTAGTGCCCACTGAACAACAAGGACCCAAGTATGTTGGTCAGATTAGTACGCAAAGGAACCCTTTAGGAAGCTGCTGTTCAATGCCACGTGAATAAACTACATACGATCTGCTTCTGCAGACTCTTGGGACATCCCGCTAGTTAAATAGACTGACCTCTTTAATTCTGAAATAATAAAAGCTTAAATGACTTGCTAGGCAGCATATGCTCCCCTCTACTTCAGTGCCAGCTTTTTCTGATTTGCTTGTGGTATACAGAATTAAATATGCCGTGTCACAATAGTGACCTTCTTTGTGACCAAAGATAAGAGCAAAGTTGCATTAAGCCTGACATGGCTACTTTGAGTTTCCTACCAATTACATGCAGTGCACATCTCTTTCCAGCCCTACTATTTTCTCCCGAATGCTATAGCCCTACTCCGTACTACCTGGTATAGGATCAAGGAGCTGAAAATTGCTTACTAAAGAATTATCTTCATAGTCTGTCTATTTAAATAGCTGCCTTATCCACAGTGTGTGTGTGGATCAGTTGCCTCTTCTATTAAGGTAATCTTTTTTTCATCTTTTAGGAAAGAAAAGGTGGGGGAAAAACCTGCCATGTGGTCATAATGCACATTTACGGTATCATGCTGTATAAAATGATCACAGCTCAAAGGTGCATCATGGGTCTCAGACCTATATTTGGCCATGTAGGTTACTTGTATCAGTCTAATCCATGCTGAGTTGCAGTACAGCAGCGAACAGAAAAAGCCTTTTGGTCCTAATCACCTGTGACTTGTAGCCAAGGTGAATGAGACGTAGCATTAAACTGCTTCATGGGTGTGGTGCTGGATGGAAATTAGACCATTGGCTGTGCTGCAAAGACTGCGGGTCTGAGACTGCTCGCCTCTGCGCCTCTAACAGTGATGATGGGGAGCGTATTGTGATCTAGGTGCTTAGGAGATTCCCAAGTAGGGAACAGGGAAGGAGCCCTCTTCTCAAATCCGCATTGGTCATTTGGAATTGCAAACGCCGATTCTTAACATGGCTTTTCTTTAGCAGCGTGACTGAGAGATTACTGGCTAAACGTAAGTTTTCCTACATTTCAACATGTTTGGATTTCTTTGACAAGTAAGCCTAGCTCTGGGTTGATAACTCATGGTTTTAGAATAGCTTGTCAAATGTTGTGTATATACCAGTAATCTTCATCTTACCCTGCTTTAATACCATTTTAATGTGCTTTTGTCTTGGCATCTGAACCGCGCAGCAGGGAGCTTGAGAGGTTTGGAAAGGAGCCAGTCCTTGATAGATGTTTTCAGTGCTTGGCAAAGTGGAACTCCTGGAGACCCCCCACATAAAACAGGGCTTGAAGTTTTTGGAAGGGGGCGTTGATTTAAAACGGTACTCTGCACAGTGATTCATTTGGTGCATGAGTTCCTATGACACTCTGGGGTTCATGTGCACTGACTCCTGCTAGACCTCAGGGACAAACAAAAGCTTCCTTTGCCCCTAACGTTGCCACCAGCAAAAGCAGTGGTGCTTGGTCTGGAGGAGGCGATACACACACCTCTGCATCCTGACTAGGAAAGAAGTAGATAAATGTTGTTGATCTTCAGAACCACAGAGCACCTGCAGCCTGGCGATCACTTCATGATGCTGCTTTCCCTGGAGCATGAAAACACTGGGGGTTTCTCAGTTCAATATTGCAACACAGGCACCATGAAGTTAGCCTTGTAGCTTGATTGATGTGGTTCTGGGATGCCCTGACTGAAAGGGCTACGGGTGTTGAGGGGTCAGTGACATGTAATTGGTGATAAAGTTTACCCAGGAGGCTTTTTTGTTTCGGTTTGATCACCAGCATTGTGCAATACTGAGGTTTAGCCCTTCTAGTGCATTTGAAAAATATGTAACTTGTGGCTATGTATGACTGGCTGAAATGCATGCTTCCCTTTTTTTAAAGGAATAACACTTTTCCCAAAAAGAGAATCTGCTACTAAAAAAGACGAGCCAGTTCTCCACCAGCACTAATACATCTTTAGGAAGGAAAAAAATCATGTGCTGCCTAATCTGACCTGTAGCATAGCACACCCTTTTGGTGTCTTGTGCATAACCAATGCTTTAAGCAAAGTTTTATAAGGCTCCTTGGAAGAAAGCATGTACTCCTTTTTTAGGTTTCATCTTCATGAAACTCATCTAAGCGTATGGTAGTTGAGCTTAGCAACTGAAGGACCACTGGAGTCATCTGTTGTGTGTAGACACGAGTTCAACCACGTTAGATGACAACCAAGAAAAGGGCTGTCCCCATTTTACATATGGGAAGATATTGAACTCTTACCAAGGGCTTTGAAACGTTCAGGTGAAAAGCAAACCGAGAGCTGGGTATTGCCCATCTTAATGCCATGATCAAGCAGCTTTTTTGGGGCCCAGGCTGTGGGTCCGCAGTAAGCCTGTGCTAGGACCCAGCCACTGCTGGTGGCTTTCCCTGCTGTCCAGGCGCAGCATGGATGAAGCCTTCCCTCACTGCCTGAACACCACTGAAACCTTTCAAACGATTCAAATCGAAAGCCTACTGAACCTCCCCCTTTATTTAACTCGGCTAACAAATACATCAGCAGTTTCACTCTTGCAGAATAATGCGATGATGCCTGGATTATAAATAGTTCAAGGAGATATTTGTAGTTCAGTGGGAGAAAAAGCTTCAAAATCCCAGTGGGGACGGTGGGGGGGGAGTTACTTTTATAAATTTAAAGACAAAACCTTTGACCTTTTTCAGCAGCTAATTGCACAAAGCAGCCACCAAGAAAGTATCTGAACTGAAGGAGGAAGAGAAGTAGAGCTTCAGACAGATCAGAGCTGGCCTTGCAGACTCCATTTACTTAATGCTGCAGTTTCCCAAACTCAGAGCCTGAACTCTGCTCCTCACCTTCGGGATAATTGTTAATATTTTGGGACTTTGACAGCTCTGATGGTTTGTAAAACAGTGCATTTCCCATCATCCTTCAGTTACAAGCCACGGGTGTTTTAAAATACCTTCTGTGTTGGATACTTCAAGGAAAATATCTAATTTTTACCCATTTTGGGTCTCATGAGTTGCACTCTCAACAGGTAGCATTACTGCGAACCAGCATGTCTGGCAATCTATAGCTAAGCTCTAGAAAATAAGTGTAAGCATTTGGTTAAGCAGGAGAGTTCATAAGTAACTGCCTGAGGAGCGTTGTTATTGCCTAATGTTGCATTCGAAACATCTCTGACATTTCTTGTTCCCTGTTTGAGAAAAGGCATGGGGGTTGGATGAAGTGGGAGTTAGGTCCTAGGGAACTGCTTCTCTCTGCCACCTCTTTCTTGCATTTATTTTTTACTACCAGATGATCAAGGAGGTGGTTTATTCTTCCTTTTCACCCTCCTATCTGGCATCAAAGGACTGTCCAAGAAGTGCCGCAGCAAAGCACCGCCCCCCCCCCCCATTACTCCACCTGAACCAAATATACCAGGGGTGTCAAACATGCAACCCATGGACCCTCTCTCAGTCCCATGGGGCTTCTAGTGGGCCAGGAAATGTGGGGCAGAGCCTGCCAGGGGATCCAGGGCCCCATCGGACACAGTAGGCAGTGGCAGGGGGCAGCTGTGCTGATGGCTTTGCTTGCCTTGTGGCTACTGATCTCGCCAGTTCTGCTGCTTGCCCCTTGGATCTGGACTGCAAGGGTCCTCACAGGCTGGATCTGGCTTGGGATGGAGGATGAGTTTCACCCTGTGAAATGTATCCTAGCACCTGTAGTGCAGCGGAGTGCCTGCCATGCCTGTTGCGCTGACTGCTATATTGCATCCTTCCTTAACGCGGCACGTTGGGTCCCAGTTGACCAACACATGGCAACATACTGTAAAAACGCTGGATTTCTGCAGTGTGTGTGTGTGTCAAACATATGAGAAGACTAGCATTTTAGAGTTGCTTATTGCAGATTGGTTTGCAGCAGAACATGACTGCTCCCCAAAAGTCCTTGTTCAAGCATTAACTGTCAGTTATCAGTGCCCTCATTTAGCTAATGGTCAAGGTAAAAAACTATCTGTGGGGAAAATTGGGGTTGGATGATGGCTAGTATGGAATCGGTTTGTTCCCCAAGTACATGCCCTTCTGCCTTTAAGATTGCTTGTCTGCCTGTTATCTGGCCTTTGCCAAAGTTGGCTAAACTGTCCGCTGATGCCTGGGTGTGGGGAATGTGCTAGTTTGCCTGAGACTCGTTCTCTTTAGTTGGCGTAATATGCTGATTTTTGTTTCCTCCTTTTACATTTTAAGATGCCAGGTAGCTTGTGATTCGTAACGCTATAGGAGGCAGTGAAGCTACCTGTGCAAACTCTCTGTTTGCACTGCCTGAAGAAGGGAAGCCAGCTGCGTTAATGCCTAGACTCCTTGAATGACAGGTAAAATGTAAACCAGACTCATCGCTTCTAAAAATGTGACTGTGAAATAAATATTTTGAAACGAGTAATTGGAAAACCAAAACAATGTGGTGTCACTTCTCAGTATAAAAATGGTGACTCAACTGCTTTGTTGGATGGAATTTGAATGAAATTAAATGTGTGATGAAACCAGTAAGCTGATTTCACTATAGTCTAAAATTGGTGTGCGCCTCAATTAAAGTAGTTGTTGTCATGGTGTAATTTTAAGTGACTAAGTCTTCAGCTTTCCTACCTCTTTTATGTTGGCTAGAGCAGTAATTCTCAACCTTGTTACTCTCATGGTACCACAGTGTGCCAGCTCTAAGTTTCCACTTGCTTTTTTTGACTACAGGGAAATAGCAGTGCGGTTCTTCTGTTGCAAAGAACTCGGACTGCAACATGTCAGAATATTTTTAGCACTATGAATTCCTATTTGAAATAACTTGTTTTAGCTTTTGAATCGCATTTGCAGGCCTAGCAGTGCTAATATTGCGAGGCACCCTGCAGCACTCTTGAGAGGACTTCAAGTCCCCCCAGGGTGCAGCACCCTGGTTGAGAATCATTGAACTAGAAATTTTAATTCCACAAGCAATTTATTTGGTATAGTCTTCAGTAAGGGGGTATCCCACTATTCAGATTTCCCTCATTTTTCTCTAAACTTAGTGTGGGGAGAAGTCAACCCTAAAACCGTAGTAACACAGCTAGTTTTATGAGACGGCGGTGAAGATGTGACGGTTCATTCCCAGGAGCAGTCTCCTGGGTACTAGATGTGCACAAGGAGTCAGTTTGGGCCTTGAGCAAAGGCCATCAGGCTGGCATCACTGCTTGCCATACTTTCTTCAGCACTCAAAAGCCCGTCTATTCCCTGTCGCTACTTGTCATGATTAGTGTAATTGCTTTCTCCTGCCTGCACTGCCTCTGCTCTCTCCCAGTCGTATAATATATAGCTTGTAGCATATTTATTTAACTATCGCAACGTGACTCATTCTTGGTTTTTTTTTTCATTTCAAACTCCAGCATCTTCTGGGCCTTACTCTCAGATGCATCTTGCCTTCTCCCCACATCTTTCTCTCTCCAAGTGATACAGGAACACCACCTTACATTAAGTGGGCCTTAGAAATATCCGAATTAGAAAAAAATATCCTAATTTTGAGCTCAGCATTCAGTCTTCCCTCCATTCCAATATCTGGTATCTCCCAAATATTTATTAATTCACAGGCACCCAGGAACACTTGCCTAACTCGGATACCTCTCAACCCAACTATATAGCAAGGAAGCAAAGTCAAATTTGTCCATACGCTTCTTTGGAGTATAATGAACACTGCTAGGTCTGTATCTCTTTGACTGCAATCCCCTTGGAGCACAGGGAGGGTGGTTTGTTTGTTTGTTTTTTCATATCCTTTCCTAAGCAATTTGTGAATACCTTACTGGCAATTCTCAATGCCAATTTTCAAAACATCAGCTGTTTACTAGATGATACTAGTTGATACTTGGCCATTATTTAAGTTTAGTTGCCTTTATCTAGCCTCCGAGTCCTCGGCTATTAAGGTTTTTAAATGCATGAAAACTGGAGGGTCTAGGTAATTCTCCATAACATTTTAATTCACCACAAATGAAAGTACAAACTTAACCCATTCCATAGTCAGCAGGTTCACATCTTGGAGACTAAAAACCAGGTCACAAAATGATGTCTGCTTTTGCCCTTGGCATGCTGCTTTCATAGCTCCCAAAGGAGAAGGTGGACTTTGCAACATGTGTGTAAGTTGAATAAATTCAAGCTGTAGGAGATCAAAAGGAGGAAAAAAAAACCCCAACAAATTCCTCAGTAGAGAGAACTTCATAACTTTCTCGCCAGCAGCTGCTGTCAGTGCCTCTAAAACTCAAAGGCCCCAAGTTGAGCCTCTGAACTGCGGTAGTGCTGGGAGGACAGCAATGATTTCTTGGGCAACTTAGTCCCAAATCTTTTAGGATTGATTGTTTTAATCTAACACCTAAAACTCACAAAGCATTTGTTCCCAGCACAAGCCAACTGCTGTATCTTTGCGTTGGCTTACCTTTTCCACTCCATCTCCAGATTTATTTGCATATGGAGCATATTACAGTATTCTGGTTAGTTACCAAAAGATCTAAGACCTCCCATAATTTGAGGGCTAGAAGTAATAACTTTCTGGGTTTTATAGTGGAGCTGTTGAACATTGGGATGTAAAATATATTCAGCTGTACTGGCTTTGAAACCAGATTAAATTAGGTTGCCTCTCTGCTGTGAAAAATACCTGCTAGGAAGGTTTAGTCTACAGGTATTTTAAAATAAATAATATCCCTTTAGAGTTCTTAATCTTTTTTTAAAGCAGTAACACTGTCAGAAGAGCAGGGCTAAAGGCAAACTAATAAAACATCAGTGTGACCAAGGAAAGGGCAGAAAACTCCCTGAGGGTTGTGGTGGATGGAGAGCCATCCCCTGGGCCTTTGCCAGGGTGAAAAATCAGCCACGGTGCATATGTGCTTTAAAACCCCAGACACAGGTGCGCAGCCTCAGTTCTGAATTTAGAGTTGTGTTCAACTTTGTTTTTAAAGTCTAGGGCCTTCTTAAGCTGAATCCCTTCCCAGCATTATGCTTTGGGAGGCTGACTTGTTTCCTAACTGAGCGCACACAAAATAGATTGTCCACAGGACAGGATTTGGGGCCGATAAACACAAAGGGAATGTGACTGGTTTTGGGGCAGGAGCCTGTTCACACCATTTTCAAAGAACCTACTGTACGGGTGACTCGCAAAATAACCTTGTGACTGACAATGACAGGAAACCTGCAGAATGGAAAGCTTTAGAAGACCATAATTCATTCTTTATTCACCAAAAATTGAGAAATAATTTCAATTGAAAATTAAGTTTAATGAAAACTAATTTCCTTCTTGGCTCACCCAACTTCATATCCAAATAAGGAATAATTTAGGACTGTTAACATGAGTAGACTTCTAAATATTCAGTAGCATCAGATGTAATTTTATGGTCTAGTTCAGTGGTTCTCATCCTTTTTAGACTCGAGGCACTCCCTCACTGGACTTGAGGCACTCCTCCATAACTTGGGATTTGAGCAGCACCCCATTTCAAGAACTTTAACTAATTTATTACAGTGTTTACCTACCCCAGTGGGGCTGGGACAAGCCCAAGCCTCTGCTTATCTGCTCACACCTCATGGCACTTGTCAAAAGCTTGCAGCACCCTGTTCTCATTAGCTTCAGGAGGTAAATCCTGAAAGCCTTGCTGAAATCAGCATAACTGGTAGAATAAAACTCAAGAAAGCTGACTTGGTGATGGAAATAATGCTTTTTTTCATAAAGCCTATCCAGCTGTTGAAACTAGACACAGCTTTAGACTACTTTATCTTTCCTGTGGGCCCTTGTCTTAAATCTTGGGCAGAACATGATCTAAGGATGTTATTTATCTTAGTGTGAAGGAAGAGAAGCACTAGGCACCTGGTGGGTCCAAAATCAAGGCTATCAGAGGACAAATATTTGAGCATTGACCTCCAAAAGCTGCTTCCTAATGAGCAACTCTTCTGTTCATAGTTGTTGCAGGAAAAGCATAATGCCCCTCTTTATTGGTTATAAAAACCCTGAATACGCAAGGGTCAAAAGAGCAAAGCCTTAAAACTGACTTCTAATGCTGCGATCTTCCTAATCTCTTCTTTTAATTTTGGGCCACAGCTCCAGTTTGTGACTCGTGGCCCTATGCAGCCATGCTGCAATTCGGAGCCCGTTCTGGGTAATGGAAGGCCAGTCGAGTCTGTTTGAGGTTGCAGCCCTGTTGCTTGAGAGCTGCGGCTCGAGTGACTTGTTCGACAAATTGTACGTTCAAAGTATGGTGCAGCCTTGTTATAACAAACCTCCATGGGATCACGAGAAAAGTTAATTAAAAGAGGCTGTTTGCTATAACAGGGCTGGTCAATTTGCTGAATCACAATATTGAAATAGCTTGTTTGGCATGGTTTATTGTAAACACGGAGTATTATCATGAGGTTGTGCTGCCTTGTGTTAACATCAGAAGAGCTGTGGAATCGTGGGTAACATTGACTAATGTCAATGACGGCTTAGTTCCCCATATCTAAGGGGCACTACTATCCTGCATGGAGACCTGAGAGTCTGGGTGGTGAGTCAGGTGAGACTGTTTCACCTGTCATTGAGTGATCTGGTGGACGTGGTAGTTGGGATATGCGGTGCTATCTCTGGAGTGGGATCGAGAGCTCAGTCAAGTTCACTAAAGAATCCAGGGTTTAGGTCTTCGAGTCTCACGTCTGCAGTTCTGGCAGATCTGGGGATGAAGTAAAGCCCTAGGAGAAAATTAAACTGTTGGGGGGTGTGGTTCAGTGCAGCTGAACAGTATCTGCATGTTAATAGCAGAGAGAAGTGGTGTAATCCTGTTAGTTGCCTGTAAAGCAGTGGGATAAAAAGCTGTATTGGGCAGGAGATGGTGATAATGAAGGAAAATGATAAGCTTGTTAGCAAATGCAGCCAGAAGGGGGAGGCAACTTGAAATATAATGCTTGAGTATTTAATGGCTTGCTCTTTGTTGCAGATTAATCAGCCACTCGATGGGGATTAACAGTGGAGCACCTCTTTGTGTCGCCTTTCCACCTCTGTGCAACAAGGAAAACTTCAGCACCTCTTCAATAATAATTATGAAACTCGTATTAACTGAATGGCAATTATGGATTTTTAACTCTAATTCACAGTAAACCGGCAAGCCATATGTTGAAATTCCTACCAAATAGCTTTGTTGTCTCCTACCTACATGAGAAGTTGTGAAATACCTGTTTGTACAAGAGGAATATAAGCATTACTTGGGTGAGAAGCAGAAGCTGACAGAAGAAATCTTAAGTTGCCCTTGGAGATATGATAGTATTATTTATATAGAGATATATTTTTATGGTGATGAGAATGGCTCCTCAGAATGCTGACTCGGAATCTATGCAAGTTCAAGAGCTGCCTGTAGCCCAGGATGAGAAACCGGAGAACGAGAGCAGAGAGGAGACCATCAGCGAGGGCTCCATCGACCGGATACCGATACGCCTGTGGGTGATGCACGGCGCGGTCATGTTTGGCAGGGAATTCTGTTACGCCATGGAAACGGCATTGGTCACTCCAGTATTGCTGCAAATTGGTAAGTCGGTTCTCTGTTTTTAAGCTATTGCATTTAAATCAAAACGCACGACTTGGTTTTTCAGTGTGATCAGAGAATATTGTTTGATGTCACTGGAAGAAGTGTTGCCTTGTCGTTAAAATGTAAGGCTGGAATTAGGGACTTCTTGTCTTCTGATCTTGGCTCCTGCTACTGATTCCTTGTGACCTTGTTTAAGACCTTGCTCTCACTTCATACCCAGGCTGGGAGGCTTTATCTTCTGGAATAGATCTCTTGGAGGAAGAAAGCTCGAAGTGCAGAGTCTTATTCTTCTATTTTAAAGCGGTCAGTTCAAATCTATGAAACTGATCAGATCAAATGTATGAAACTTCTAAAATATTAGAGTCCAGAAACAGGTAAGAATATACTTATCCGAATATACTAACATATTGGACAAATATTGAAAACTACTCTTTGTTGGAACTGATCTGCCCATGAAAAAATCTTGAGACCTGACCTTGGAAACCAGATTACCATGCCCAAGAAAATAGCCATGGTGCATTGCTGGATCAGCTCTGACCTTTTTTCAGAATAAAGGACTAGAACTATTGCATATGCTGTTTTAAGACCTGAATAACCCTTACCTTATCTCTGAGCAATTCAATGGAACTGTCTCCTTTTACCTATAAAAACTATAAAATGAGATAACAAGATGCATACTGTACGCCAGGGACTTGCCTATATTATGAAATATTCGGAGCATGGGGGTGGGAAAAGTGAGTTACTCATCACCTGACCTTTCACTATAGTACCTGCAGATAATGCCAAATGACAAAGTAACTTCATCTTGTGCATTTCAGAACCTGATAGCTTTTTTTTAAAGCGGGATAGATCCATTGCTGAACCTGAAATTGTGAAAAGCTTATGAAATAGATCCTGGCTATTGTAGATTCGGAAGCTTTTGTGTTCTGGTTCATGAAAGCCACTGATTTTTTAATTGCGGTCATGCTTCAAACCAGCTTGCAACCTAGATGTCAATAACTTTTTATCCTTTTAATTGGGCTGGGGATATTGGCACAAAACATCTAAGATGTACTGCTGCTCATCAGGTCCAATGAACCGTCAATGGCCAATACAAAGTTAGCAGGGAAAATGAGGATTAGACCAGTATAGATGGCTCTGACACTTGTGTCATGAAGTGTTTGTGCCAGTCTGATTCCCTAGACTTCAGCCAAATACATTAATTATACTGTTAAAGCTAATGAACACTTAAGTGAATGGGAGGGCAGAAGCTGTATGGCATTGGGGGTACTTATAAATAAAATGATTGTGCCATAACCAAGTTTTAACATGCCACTTTGTTACCCAGTGCTGAAAAGTCTTCCTTGAATCATGGCTTTAATGTGAAGTTTAGTACTGAAAGTTGAACCTTAACTTGTCTTACAGTTCTCACATCAGCTCATTTGATAAGGCTAAAGAACTCTTCAACTTGTGGCCAGAAACATGATGCAGAACATCCCCCTGCCAGATCCTGTAGTTATTAGGAGCATGTATCACCATTTCGGATTAGTAGTCTGATTAGACTAATGTCGGGGCAGCAAACTGTACTAAATGGGCTCTGCTGGCAGAAGGTCTCTTCTGTTTAGTATAGCTTGAGGGGGAAGTAGAGATCTTTTTCACACCCTTTGATGTAGCTATGCCAGCAAAACTTGATGATGGGGACCAAGCTGTAGAGAGATCTTTAAGATTATGATTTAGCGATGTCAGGTGACTGACAACTGACCTGCACTGGAAGCTTGGGTCCGTCCTGCACCCGTTGGCCTTTGCAGGCCAGCTCCTTTTCAGGATCGAGTCCCCCTAACTGAGAATGACCTGGTCTTTCTGTTCCTTGTCCTACAACACTGCACTTGGCTTGCCTGGTTAATCGCCTATATGAATACATAGAAGTGTCACAACCCAAAGGGTGTGATTTTTGTTTTGTGTGCTTCGGCACTGCTAAATTGTCCCCGCTAAATTATAGCTTCTTTGCACAGTGGAGTTTTTTCTGCTGCAAAAGAGAACCCTGGTGCAAGGGAGAATTTCCCACCAATTTGAAGCTTTCTTTGCAGGGTGCATTTCTTTGTTGCAGCACAGAAATGCTCGTTGCAAAGAGTTCCCGCTATTTGTATGTTAATTTGAGTCCCATTATTGGCCAGTTCTAAATTATTCACACGTGGCGGCTAGTGATTGGCTTGCTAGCCGTATAAGAGGCTTGATTGGTTTCCGCCCAAGTTGGAGGACTCCACGAACAAGGGAGGAGGAGACTTCACGCTGTGTGAAGATCTCTAAGCGCTGCGGATCCTTACGGACCCAGCTCATTTCAAGCAGGCAACAGAGGTTTGATCAACCTCTAGCCTCTCCCCGTCGCCGATAAATTCCCAGACGTATCCTTTCCCACGCGCAAACAAACCGGACCCACAGAGCCTAGCGAACTTCGTGTAGCAGAAGGACCCACGGAGCCTAGCAAACTTCACGTGAGTCCTTGCCGCACGACTCCAGAGCTCTTCTACCCGGGTTCGAGTCCTGCAGGTTTATTTTCCCGTCGCCGAAACCCTTTGCGACGTACCCTCGTGCCCTGCAGGTTCAAGTTTTTGTTTTCTTTTCTCTCTGTAACCGCAACTCAAGCAAGTTTTCCAGCCTGTGCCATTGCCATCTCGGTGTAAGTAAACAATCTTGTAAACTACCGATACGCGTCTGTGCCTAATTCCAGCTCGACGGCCTTCCCTCTCCAACCCAGCGTGCCCGGGCTGCTGGCCACAGCCCGCGTGCAGCACGAAAAGGGCTCGGGTCGCTCCCGGCCCGCACAAGAAGATGGGCTGCAATGATTTTTATGTAGTCAGAAGGATCAGAGATTCAGGATTAAGCTGAAATCCTGACTTGTTTTATTTAATTAACAAGGTAATTCCATCTTGTCCAAAACTGCAAGATGGCTTGTTAGACTAACACTCTTTTCTTTACTGATTTACATCCCGTGTCACTCTCTTCTGTGATTTAAACTTTTGCCTAGCATCAATCTTGAGCTAACCAGCCTATAACCTGGGTTGTCTGAGTTGTCTTCTTTTTAGTATTATGTCAGTGTTTTAAGCTTTATTCAGTCCTTACATCGTCCCTAGTGTTAGTCACTTGTCAAATCATAATTAATGGTTTAGCTCCTTGTCCAAATTTTGATGCGCTCGAGTACAACCTGTCTCTTCTACTTTTAAATAGTACAATACAGCTAGCTTCTGATGAATTAGTTCTGTTGTTGTAAGATACAAATACATTATCCAAATTCTTTCCAAATGCAGGAAAGCAGTATTAAAACTTCCTCCTTTGCCTCCCTTTCTCTTACCAACCTCATCAGTACTATAACTATGCCATGTGACAGTGTAAAAATAAGTTGGTTTCCTATATTAACCACTAAATAAGGATTTGAATGGTCTAAACAGCATGAGGGGCACTTCAGGAAAAGAACTGACTTTAGGCACGTTGGTGAGGATGCAGTGAATGATGTTGCAAGGCAGGCACCTTCCCCCTGAACCATGCACCACTGGGGAGAGAAGGAGCAATGGGGTGACTCCTCAAGGCGCTATCCCCTGTCACATCCCTCACACTTCTTTGGTATAGATACTTGTTACTTCTCCTTGGCAAATGAGAGGCCATACTCCTACTACTCACAAACGTGCCTGATTTAATCACCTTTGTCAGGAATCCCCAGTGGTGTGAACACGCTCTCCAAAGTGACCTGGCTGTTTTCTGCTTTGGGGGGGTGGAAAGCCGGGAGCTGAAACGCTCCTGTAGCCTCTGTGTACAGACTCTGCGGCAAAGGCTGCATGGCATATTTGGGGAGCTGCTGGAAAAAGGACTGCTGCCTGCATAAAACATGACAGATGCTGCTGTTTACTTGAGCCCAGCCTGACAGGCCAGAGTCGGTGCTTTCTTGCACATGAGACTGAGAAATGATTTGCAATTGAGGTTGGCTGTCTGTCTATGGGACTGGTTTGATGGGGAAAGTGGCTTAGTATAAAAGTGAAATGTTGAGTCTTGCATGTTGGTTATTGACTGTTCCTTAAACATATCAAGAGTGTGTTGGACCTTTAGCTCCTCGCACTGGAAAAACTGGTTGTATTCTACCCCATATCCATGATGCACTGGACAGATTTGAGAGTCTCTAAAAACCCATATCTGTCTAACTCTGCTCTTGTATTGGCAGCTTTTTAGTGGTGCCTTTCATCACAGGACCAAGACTCCCTACAGGTATCAATAATTTTGTCTCTTCACCGCTGGGCAGTAGGCTGTTTTTACGAGCAGGTTAAGAACCTCCAAAATTCCCACAGCCATTAAATTATGCTACCTCTACAGTAAAAATTAAACTGGGAGGACTAAGTGTTTATGGATCACTTGGTTGACAGGTTGGTAATCAGTTACTATGTAGCTCTCTCTTATTTTCAGCCACTGCTTGAGCTTCTGCTGTATTTTCTGTCTTCCTAAGGCTAGCGGTGATTCCCAGCCGTCTTGGTTGGTAGGCAGAATTTGGAAACAAAGTGCTGCAAGCAACTATAAAATCATATCATGGGGGGTAGACGTCTAGAGGCTTTTTAGTGTTGGTGTGCTATGCTCACATGTCCTGTCCCAAGAAAACCGCAGCAAAGCTGTTTCGACCACCTGTACTGGTAGAAGCAGTTCCTATATTCAGGGGAACATCATTAAGTTAGCGAGAGTCATTTTAACTACCAAGGTATCGGGGAAGTACCAGACTTTCTTGTGTACAGTACGCATCTCTTCCACAAGCAGTCCCCTGACATTGTGGTACATACATTAAGCAGGGCAGTAGGGTGTGTTTTTTTCCCCCACTGGAAAAGAAACCCACCTGGAGACAGTGCATGGCAAGCAGTTGCCAAGATGGCTGGCACTTATTTGACTCAGCAAACTAAAGCGGCAGTCCTGTGTTAACCCTCTCCCAGGTGTAGCTATTGGCTGAGCGCTGCATCTCTTGTCTGAAGCAGCAAGAACGCTGCTGGTAG